GCTATTTGATACAACTTGTCTAAAACTTATCCTCAGATGACAGCCTAACCAATGGTATAACTTGCTTTGATTATGCTGATGTTACTTTTGTCAAGTAGGGCACAGGTTCTGTTTTAACCAGATATTTGAACCATGTTTTTAAATATTCATATAAAGAACTACCAGCCAGAGTTGTAGCTGAAGCCGAACTAGTTGACTAGGGGTTAAAAAATAATGACATCCATCCGCAACAATATTGTTTGAGAGGTTAGGCAGACCAGTGGCCTATGGTGTAATTAGGTGAGTTTAAGATCAAGCAGAATGGTAAATAATGTGGTCTGTTTAATCAATCGTGCAGTTTAGTGGTGCTAACGACATTTGATTGTTGAAAATGAAAATATTCTTAGGTCCTTCATGAGAAATATGTGTCTGAGTTTGATACAGAAGTCATTGGTAGCTTTGAAGACACTCCATACCAAACACTTGACCATGTTGTACTGATTCTGCAAAAATTCCAATCTTAGTTTTTTTTGTAGCCCAAGTAGTATTATCTTGTTCTTTTCTATTATTGGTTGATCTTGGACTAGTAGTTAGATTTGTACCAGTGTAGTAGAAAGAGTGTTGGCAGTTGGCACTGTTGGTTGTCCCTTTCTTTACAGTTCCTAGAATTAACGTTCTCTCATGTCTGGCCAGGAAAAGATACGGATAGCTCTTTACGTGAAAAAGGCAGCATTGCAATTCATCGAGGGTATAATCTTTACTAGATTCAGTTAACGTTTTCTGTTTTCCTATTCTGTTCTGTTTCTGAATAGTGTAGTTTTTTCTAATACAGCTGCTAATCGAACTGAGCACAAGCTCTCAGACAATGTCAGGCAAACTGGGTTTGGCATTGAGCCAGATGAACTTGCAGCCATCGTTAGGTCCCATGATGCCAAGAGCTTGGAATCTCATGGAGGGGTTGAAGGATTGGCCAGAGAAGTGTCTGTGTCACTGAATGATGGAGTTGTCTCCAGTGATATATCTATTAGGCAAAATATATACGGCTCTAACAAATATGCTGAGAAGCCTGCTAGATCTTTTTGGATGTTTGTGTGGGATGCTTTGCATGATTTGACATTGATTATTCTCATGGTATGTGCTGTGGTCACCATTGGAGTTGGTATTGCAACTGAAGGTTGGCCAAACGGTATGTACGATGGGGTGGGAATAGTACTTTGCATTTTTCTAGTCGTGATGGTCACTGCAATCAGTGACTACAGGCAGTCCTTGCAATTTAAGGTCTTGGATAAGGAGAAGAAAAATGTGATTGTTCAGGTTACCAGAGAAGGGAGCAGACAGAAGGTTTCTATCTTTGATTTGGTGGTTGGAGATGTTGTTCATCTGTCGATTGGAGATGTGGTTCCCGCAGATGGCATTCTTATACAAGGCCACAGATTATCAGTCGACGAATCCAGTTTGTCAGGTGAGAGTGAGCCAGTGAACATAAATCAAAAGAGGCCCTTTCTTCTGTCCGGTACCAAAGTACAGGATGGGTCAGGTAAAATGCTGGTGACAGCAGTTGGTATGAGGACTGAATGGGGTAAGCTGATGGCTACTTTGAGCGAAGTCGGGGAAGACGAAACACCACTGCAGGTGAAGCTTAATGGAGTTGCAACTATTATTGGGAAAATTGGTTTGGCTTTTGCTGTGATGACATTTTTGGTTCTGCTGACACGGTTTCTGGTGGCGAAGGCTCACCATCATGAGATCACAAAATGGTCTACTGGTGATGCTATGCAGCTTCTAAATTTCTTTGCCATTGCTATAACCATAATTGTTGTCGCAGTTCCTGAAGGGCTTCCGTTAGCAGTGACACTTAGCCTTGCATTTGCGATGAAGAAATTGATGAAAGATAGAGCACTTGTGAGGCATCTCTCTGCATGTGAAACAATGGGTTCTGCTTGCTGCATTTGCACAGATAAAACTGGAACATTGACGACAAATCATATGGTGGTGAACAAAATATGGATCTGTGAAAAAACAAAATCAATAAAAACTGATGACAATAAAGATTTATTGATGTCCTCTATCTCTGAAGGTGTGCATGGAATCCTTTTGCAATCTATATTTCAGAACACATCCTCAGAGGTGACAAAGGGAAAAGATGGAAAGACTAACATTTTGGGGACACCGACAGAGACGGCAATATTAGAGTTTGGATTGCTTTTGGGAGGTGATTTTAAAACAGGTCATAACGAATCTGAGATGGTGAAAGTTGAGCCTTTCAATTCAGAAAAGAAGAAGATGTCTGTGCTTGTTTCTCTTCCTAATAATGGTACTTTTCGAGCATTCTGCAAAGGTGCATCAGAAATAATTTTGAACATGTGTGACAAGGTTTTAACTGCTGATGGCAAAGCTGTACCGCTATCTGAAAATCAAAGACAGAAAATCACAGATGCCATAAATGGTTTTGCCTGTGAAGCCCTACGAACTCTATGCTTAGCTTTCAAGGATATAGAGAAGACTTCTGATGCAGACAGCATTCCTGACAATAACTATACACTAATCGCTGTTGTTGGAATTAAGGATCCTGTACGCCCAGGGGTGAAGGAAGCTGTTAAGACTTGTTTAGCAGCTGGAATTACCGTGCGTATGGTCACTGGTGACAATATCAACACTGCAAAAGCCATAGCTAGGGAATGTGGTATCTTGACGGATGATGGCCTGGCAATTGAAGGGCCAGATTTCCGTAGTAAGAGTCCTCAGGAGTTGGAGGAGATAATACCAAAACTTCAGGTCTTGCAACCTCTTCAAAACTTGATTAACTTGCTCTTTAAAAGTGGAAAAGCTCCTAAAATGTTTAATTGGTAATGCAGGTTATGGCTCGATCATCGCCTTTAGACAAGCATAAATTGGTAACTCAATTGAGGAGTGTATTTAAGGAAGTTGTGGCAGTCACTGGAGATGGTACTAATGATGCTCCAGCCTTGGCCGAGGCAGATATCGGGCTTGCTATGGGTATAGCAGGAACAGAGGTTTGTTAATGTCCTCCTCCTCCTGGATATACACTTTCCTATTTGCTGTCGTAACTGTTCAAGTTGCTTCTAGTAGGCAGTAGCTCAGCATTTTTCTCCTATTTCCCGCAGGTTGCAAAAGAAAGTGCCGATGTTATTGTAATGGATGACAACTTTAAAACCATAGTGAATGTTGCAAGATGGGGTCGAGCAGTTTATATTAACATTCAGAAGTTTGTTCAGTTCCAGTTAACAGTAAATGTTGTTGCTCTCATGATAAATTTCATTTCTGCGTGCGTCTCTGGTTAGTTCCTCTGCATCCCTAATCTTCTAAGTTCTAAATGTTAGGCCTTAGGGACCAATCCTTGATGAAATAGCAAACTGTTAAACTTACAATCAAAAGGTTCAGCATTGAGAATCTAGAGCAGTCAGTTCATGCAAAATTGCTGAAGGCTAAAGATTGTCTCTATATTCTCCTTTCCTGGACCCTTCTTTCACAGAACTATAACTAAAAATGGTGAAATAATTTGCAGGCAATGCTCCATTGACCACTGTTCAGCTGCTTTGGGTGAACTTAATCATGGACACTCTCGGTGCATTGGCATTGGCTACAGAACCTCCTCATGATGGAATGATGAAAAGACCTCCGATCGGCAGGAATGTAAGCATAATCACCAAGACCATGTGGAGGAATATCATTGGACAAAGCATCTATCAAATAATTGCCCTTGCCATCCTCCAATTTGATGGGAAACACCTCCTGAAGCTTTCTGGTTCAGATGCTACTAAAGTCCTGAATACTTTCATATTCAATACCTTTGTGCTCTGCCAGGTAGTACCATACTTTGATCTTCAATTGCCTTGGCATCCCAACATCTCATAGAAGTTTTATAACTAAATATTCAACATATGTTCAGGTGTTCAACGAAATAAACAGCCGAGATATGGAGAAGATAAATGTCTTCAGAGGCATCTTTAGTAGCTGGGTTTTCTTGGCTGTCATGTTCTCCACGGTGGCTTTCCAGATTATAATAGTTGAATTCTTGGGCACATTTGCTAATACTGTGCCACTAAGCTGGAATTTATGGTTGACCAGTATCTTTATTGGAGCTGCAAGTTTAGTAATTGCTGTCATCCTGAAGTGCATACCTGTTGAAGCAAACAAAGATGACAACACAGCCAAGCATCACCACGGTTATGAGCCTCTTCCTAGCGGTCCAGATCTGGCCTGAGAATATTTGATGGATAATAAACTTATGAAGGGTCTAAAGCAGAATACTGCAGGCAACTTGAAATGATACCAGCAGCACAAAAACCAAGCTGTATATATTATTGATGAAGTTTTCCCTTATTTGCAGGTGGAGCTGAAACATATATATTTCCTTCTATCATTTGAGGCAAGATCCTGTAAATGAATGACGATCACCAAACTAACATTTTTCCCATACCTCAATCTTTGTTGTGTAGTTTGCTTGGATTGTCTGCTAAATTCATGGCAGATACGGCAAAAAATTGTACGTTCGGAGTAGGAAATTTGAGGGATTTATTTGCAACTACTTTATATTCTTTATGACAAGTTTCATTTTCATGAAACATTGTTGGGAGTTCCATTTTATCTAAATCCTGTCATTTTTATAGAAAGATAGCAACACAATAAATCTGCAATGCCAAAACTGAAAAGGACTTGAAGTTGCAAAATCGCCAAATAATTGTATCATCTCTCTATCTGTCTCTGTATCTCTTTCTGTTTAAGCATTTTATCAGGCATCAAGTAGCTTTACAACCCATCTATAAAGATTGAAAAAGCTTATTAAAAGATTAGGGAAATGCCAGCCCTCTTTCTGTGTTTGAATGAGAACCCAACCAACATGTGTCTAGTCAATGGACACAGCTTTGTCTTGCCATCGAAGTATATACCTGCAGTCTTTCCCCTCATTCATCAGACTTGCAAACCCAATCAATGAACAAATCTAAACATGGGTTTGTAGTTGAAACCAGGTCTTCACACAAAACAAGTTCACAATTTTTTCATCCCATAATCAGTTCATTTACATGTTCACCTATACTTTCAACTCCACTACAAGATTCTATAACAAGAGCTTCCCAATCATCTGAACAGAACGTCATCTGTCTCTTCTCCATCTCCTCCAAAACAAAGCAAGCACCATCAAGGTTTCCAGACTTCACAAGGCCAAAAACCAAACAACGGAATGTTTCAACACGCGGAGAATGTCCACTAGTCAACATTGCATTCAGAACCTTCAGACCTCCCTCAAAATCCTCAACCCGACAAAATCCATCAACCAGCATTCTGTAAGTAGCAGCATTGGCCTCGCAACCTGCTATTTGCATTTCAAACAAAACTTTGTAAGCCTCTGCAGCTCTACCCTCCTTACAAAAATAATTGATCAATATATTGTAAGCAACGACATCCGGCTTAAAATGCCTCCTCTTCATTTCAGAAAGCAAAGATTTTGCTTCCTCAATCTTCCCTCTCTTCCCAAGATCACTCATCAAAACACCAAAATTCACAACTGTAGGTTTACAACCTCTATATTCCATATCAAACATCACCTTTTTAGCCCCATTATGCTCACCTATGGAGCACAAACCTTCCATTAACAAAGCATATGTTATTGCATTTGGACGTTTCCCTTTATTAATCATATCCTCTAACAAACCCTTTGCTTTATCCAACTCACCGTTTCTACACAAAAACCCAATAAGACTATTATACGACACAACACTCCGTTCCACCTTCCTCTCAAGCATTTCTTCAAACACTTTGCACGCTTGATCCCACTCACCCTTCTCCAGCCACCCTTTTATCATTACATTAAAAGCAACCGAATTTAAACGAAACCCCATTTTACGAGCCTTATCAAACAACTCATTGGCCTCAAGAAACCGATCATTATCAACAAGAACATTAAGTAGACCATTCAAAGACTGAGACGTACGGACACAGTTAAAGAGAGTCATTCTATGAAAAAGCTCCACTGCCTTATCAACCAAATGGGCTTTTCCATAATGTTGAAATAAAGCAATGAAAAGGGTTTCTTGACAATGAACATTATTATCTAGTACATAACCAAGAACTTCCTCAACAGCTTCAAAATCCTGACAACGAGCAAGCTTGTAAATGAGAGCAGAGTATGAAGGGTACTCAGGTTTAAACCCCATTTGGTGATACTCATGAAATAGAGACAAGGCCTCATCTGAGTCTCGTGCTTCTTTCACATCGGTCACAAATGGTGGTGAATCTTTGCGCTTTCTTGAGCTTTTTTTGTGACCTTTTTTTGGATGGCTCGGTTTGGTTTTGGGTTTGTTGAAGGGGAGAGTTTTGTATCGTTGAAAAAATGTGAGATGGAAGAAATGGTTGGGTTTTGTTAATTTTGAGAGGATCATTGCTTTTATTTGATTCAAATTCCATCAGGTCGAGGAGTTTTTTGCTTGGCAACGGCAATTCTTTCCCATGATTCCAATACTGCAATAGCTGCTCTGTTTTCTTTTTCATTTTTAACGGAGAGTCTCTATATATGAGTAAATTATAAATTAGTCCCTCTATTTAAAAAACAATTAATTAATTAATCTTTCTTATTTTAAAAACTAATTATTTAATTCTTTAATCCGTTTTGACCATATTTAATTTATTATTTTTTATTTTATAAAATATCGTATTTTTTATCACATATTTTTTTCATTTCCTAGAACTAAAAAAATAAATAAATTAAAAACTAACGAAAATATTAAATTATAAAAAAATTAAAAATATATAAACCACATAATTAATTTTTAAAATAAAAGAGATTAATATATTTATTTCTTGAAATTATAGAGACTAATTTATAATTTACTTTGTATTATAAAAAGTAAATTATACATTAGTCCTTCTAGTTTTAAAAAATTAATTAATTAATCTCTTTTATTTTAAAATTTAATTATTTAATATTTTGATTAATATTTACTCTGCTTAATTTAATATTATTTTATGTAAAAAATATTTTATTCATATCGATTTTTTATAATATTTATTTATCTATCTATTTAAATAATAAAAAAATTGATTAAATAATTAATTTTTAAAATAGATGAGATTAATTAATTCCATTTTCAAAACTAGACGAGTTAATTTATAATTTATTTGTATTTTAGTTGGGCTTGCTTTTATTTTCTTTAATCGGACTTTTGAATAATGGGCTCAGATTTCCATTTTCTGTTTTGCTGAGGACATATTATTAGATATTTTCCATGTATTTCTTCCCCCTCGTCTAAAACTTAAATCTCAATTGAACGAGCCAAATATATATTGGAATAAATGTACTTAGAGTTTGTAAAAACTATACATTTGAAATATGTAATAATCTCCATTTCTTTGAAGGTTTAAGGTTTAATCTATTTTTAAATAAAAGAATAATTTTCTAAGTAATTTGATCTTATATTTCTAATTGAATCAACTTTATTTTTAAATATAAGTTAAGTTTCTAATTGATTTTCTAATAATATTTTTAGCCTAGGCTATCGAAAATAGGCAATGTGATTTGGATATGAAAGCTTTCTATTTGTCTAATTGCAAGGGTATTTTACGGATAAACAATAATCATGTGTAAATCACGTGATTAATTTCTATTATTTAGTCTTAAAATCTTGTTAATATGATAGATTAGAAACTCAACTTATATTCAAGAATAAAATTAATTTAATTAAGAATATAAAAACTGATTATAGAATTATCTTCTTATATAAAGATAAGTTATAAACATCAATCATATACAAATTACGTGACTAATTTCGATTATTTGATCTTAAAATCTTGTCAATATAATAGATTATAAATTTAAAGTATATTCAAAAATAAAATTTATTTTATTTTATTTTATTATATAAAGATAGATTAAGTTATTAATTATTTTTTAAATTAATAAAAATCAAGTGAAAAAATTGATCAGACATATTATGAAAATATATTTTTTAAAATTCTCAAAAATGGAATAAATTAACTTTTGATTTGAAGCTTCAAGTGCGACTTTTTTTTCTTGTAATGGAGTGTTTCATGTGCTAGATTGGTAGGAGCCAAATATACGGAAGAATACATATAAAAACACACACACTTGAAGAAAATTATTTCCAAATTAGGTAAAGATGGCAATGAAATTAATAGTCAAGCTGGTTCCAAGCCAAGCACAAACTAGCAAAATCCAACGAAGATAATTGCTTTGTAATTAAAAAAAAAAAAAAACACACAGAAACACAGAAAAGACTCATTAAAATGGTGACAAAATATCACTACATAACAAATGCTTTATCAAGACGACATTTGTCAAGAAATAATTGAAGGTGTTCATGCAAAAACAAAACAAGGACATGCATGATTGCCAGACAATTCGTAGCAAAAACTACAGCCTTCACGTGATGGATGGGAAAGACAATGCATGTGTATATATTGCAAAAATGATATAAATTAAACATAAAATTTATCATTTTTTTTTTATCAGATGTAAAAAACATGCATAACTAATCAAAGAATTTTCTATGTATACAAACATTCAAACTCGAAACTATTTATTTAAGTGATCAAAACCTCTTCCATTCAAATTAATTTTTTTAAGTATAAATTATCAATCAATTTTAGTAGAAATGTTTGGCACCACAAACAATTGGAATAGAAGTTGAAAGAAAGAAAAGTTTTGGCATGGACATGATCACTTGTTGATGAATTGGATCCAATGCTTAGAACCGCCTAGGGTCAAAATCTGACCTTCAGATTCTCATCTAAAAAGCATTGCCAAATGTCATTGAAAATTTATGCATGAACTTTTATTTGTTCTTATCAGGTGTAGCAACTTTTATTCTAGAAATAATTAATGCATCAAGTTTAATCTGTTCTTATCATCGTTTACCTCTTGGTTTTATAATAAGTTTTAAATTAAAAATCTATAAAATCCTTACTATTTTGGAGTAAAACTGTAGTAATTTTTTTCGAGATATCCAACTATTTCCTTAACGTTTTTTGTGAGAAAATCTGTACTTACAGCAAATCTAAGTGACTAATTAGTTAAAGCTGCCTTGATTAGCCAAGAAGGATGGTTTTAGCGGGAGAAAAAAAAGAGTTTTTGTTTTTGTTTTTGTTTATATAAAAAATTCCTTAGATAATTGTATTTATCGTTTACGTTTTACAAAACGACCAAAGATTAGACTATGTTTTTGAATTAAAAAAAATATGAAAAAAAGCTGCCTTGATTGGTTAAGCATTGATGGGCATTGAAAGCCATTGCCTGGTCTCCAGATTCACCTTCCAAATATAATTAACAACATTCCAAAATTGAGGTAGCAACCATTGAATGTCAACCATCCTTTATCTCTGATGATGCCATACCAGATTGATTTGAAAAATATTTATACTCTCCCAATTGTCATAATTCTTCAATATCAGAACACATCTCCATCTAGTCTCTAAAATGTCCTCAAAATTTTCCTTCATTTTTCACTTCTTTCTCTCGTCCATGTTGCTGGGTTGCCTTGCAACAACGCAACTTGATGGCTTAACCATGGAGCTCATCCACAAAGACTCCCCACGATACCCTCTTTACCAAGCTAATCTTCCTCTTGGAGAGAAAATCCAGCAACCAGCTGCATGCCCATTTGCTGGTTTGCACCACCGAACCAGCACGATGTCAACAAATATAGCTGCCAAGCACAAGACGCTAAGTCCTAGGGCTTCCTATGGTGACCCGTTTTTGTTCTTGGCACAAGTTGGTATTGGCTCATTCCAAGCAAAATCTCATAATGAAAATTCCAAATCATACTACTTTCAAATAGACACTGGTAATGAGCTCTCTTGGATCCAATGTGAGGGTTGTCAAAATAAAGACAACAGTTGCTTCCCTCATAAGGATCCTCCATACCCCAATTCTCAGTCCAAATCTTACAGGCCTGTATCTTGCAGCCAACACTCCTTCTGCGAGCCAAACCAATGCAAACAAGGGTTATGTGGCTACAATGTGAGCTATGGTCCAGGTTCCTACACAAGTGGCATTCTTGCAAATGAAACTTTCACTTTATATTCTAGCCGTGGCAAACGCACAGCTCTCAAGGATATCACTTTTGGATGCAGCACTGACAGTAAGAACATGAAATATGCTTTCTTGCTTGACAAAAATCCAGTAAGTGGAGTTTTGGGTATGGGATGGGGTCCTCGATCTTTTCTAGCTCAATTAGGCTCAACCAGTGATGGAAAGTTCTCTTATTGCATTATACCAAACAACACACACAATACCTATTTAAGGTTTGGTAAACATATAGTGAAATCCAAAAATTTACAAACTACGAAGATAATGCAAGTCAAGCCCTCATCAGCTTACCATGTGAATTTGCTTGACATAAGTGTTAATGGGGTGAAGCTCAACATCACCAAAACTGCTCTTGCTGTGAAAAAAAATGGCAGTGGTGGATGTGTCATAGACGCTGGTACCTTGGCCACATTGCTTGTTAAGCCTATTTTTGATACGCTACACACAGCGTTGGCAGACCATATGTCTAGCAATCAAAACCTGAAGAGACGAATCATTCACAGTTTGCACAAGGATCTTTGCTATGAAGAATTATCGGATGCTGGCCGCAAGAACCTTCCTGTTGTTATATTCCATTTAGAGAATGCTGACCTTGAAGTTAAGCCTGAAGCCATCTTCTTGTTTCGTGAGTTTCAGGGCAAAAATGTTTTTTGCTTGTCGATGCTTTCTGATGTTTCCAAGACCATAATCGGTGCTTATCAGCAAATGAAGCAAAAGTTTGTGTACGATACTAAAGCTCAAGTGCTGAGTTTTGGTCCGGATGATTGTGAGAAAAACGGCTGAGATTGTATTTTGAGATACCTATAGAAATAAAAGTTTCTGCTGATTATGATGTTGATCCTTCTAGCAATGAAGGAAGTTTTTTTTCTTTTCGGTTCATTTGGAGGCCCAGTAAATTTTGGATTATATAATGAAATATATAATTGCTGTTATGATTTTCCAAAAAAAGATAAAATTTTATGATACTATACATAAATTATAACCTTATCCACATAAATTAAAAAAAGAAGAAGAAGAAGACATTAAATTTGACATTTGGCATTATAAAAACAAGGTTTCTTTCGTTCTAACAACATTGTAGCTATCAAAGAAGGGATAGATAATGACAGGCCATCCCTCTGGTAATATATATAGAGTGGAAAATTGGCAATCTCAATCATGCAGGTGACTGAAAATTTTGAAAAAATCCAAGTTGGAGACCCTATGTTTGCGTCAAATTGGTAAATTAAACCTTGTATAAATAATTTTATGAATTGATTCAATCTAAGTATTTTCAATTGTTAATATAAATTTATTTGTTATATTAAAATTTACTGAGTTCGAAAATATTAGCCATATTCAATACAATTTCGTCTAAAATGTTTAGCTTTAATTTTTTAAAAAATTAAAATAAACTAAAATATATACAAGTTCTTCTCTTTCTATTTTTTCAAAACATGTTATTTAGAGATTTTTTTATAAGAGATTCGCATGATTGTTACATGATTCTATAGTGAATCAAAATTTAGATATAGCATCTTATTCATAATTGTGTGTTATATGGATTTTTATTAAAAATTAAAATCATTTGGATCAAATTGCCTAAATATGACAAATATACGATTGAATTTGTAAAACTATTTACATAAAGTTAAATTTGTCAATTAAATACAAACACTAAGGTTTCGAAATGGGCTAATCTATATCATTCGATTTGGGCCTAGACCCAAACAATGCACTATCACCGAGCTTTCTTGATGATTTGTTGACATGACCTTCTTAAGAAGAGGTTTTTTTTTCCCTTTTTAATGCTTTGGATTCGACTTTTAACATCAGAAAAATTATTAATTTATTTAAAATATATCATATGCCAATGTAATATATATATATATCTTGAAATTGTTGAAAAAAAATCTTAATCACAAATCTCACACTAACACAAAAACTGGTTTCTAAAATATATATTAACATCGCATAAAAACAAAAAGTTTTTGCCATTTATTTTAAAAAAAAAAAAAAACTGAAACCATTGCCTGACGACTCGTGAAAAAATTTGCACTCTTCAAATATAAAAATTATGAAGCAAATGCGATGGTAATTTCATCCAAATTATTGTATTCAATGTACATACTCAAAAGGAATTTGAAGAAATATATCCATTAAACAAATGTTATTGGGCATGTTTACGTAACAAGTTTTGAAATTTTGTGATTTCTAATCATGATTAGGGACCCATCATTAGAGACTGAATAGCATAAGCTAATGGAGCAGGCAGCCTCCCATCATGAACTGAACATCAATCAATCTAATATTTAGACTTGCTAGTGGAAAAACTAGCAAAGTTTTGACTGGTTAAATTCTAACCCAAATTTTGCTATCTAAGTTTTGATCTAAAGCACTCGATTCAATTTGAAACATAATTTTCAACAAGAACTTGCAAAAATAAATAGGAATTCTAAGTCTAATGTTAATATAAGATGCAAATAATGTAACTAACAGGGGAAAAAATGATTTCAAGCAATAATTTGAAAAACAAAACATTAATTCTCTTATGATGTTTATAATAAACATGTTTACAAAATATTAATTCTCTTATAATGTTTATACAGAAACAGATTTCTGAGCTTTCTTAATTAAAGTTCGCAGCAAATTCTATGAGTTGTTGACGGGATTGTATAACGATATGATGGATGATAATTTCAGTGAGAATCAAACGAAAACATTAGCTTACCATAAAAAAAACATTATCATAAGTTATGCAATTCATCGGTGATCACTGTTGTAATTTTTTTTATTTTTTGTTTTTTTCAACATGAAATGTATGTATAGGTGCAAAAACCGAATCCCAATACAAGATGGTAGCATGAAAGTGCGCAAGAATCGTTCAAAAAGTTGAGCTTTATATATATATATAAAGTTTACAAACTTCAAGTTTCAGAATATTGCTGCATGTTGAATTCTCTGTCGTCAGACTTGAGCAACTTAATTAGCACCAATCATGGTGGGTTTTCAATGGAAGAGGCAGACAATGACAGGGCATCTGACTCTGGTAATAGAGAGGAAAGGGCGATCCTCAATCACTGAGGTGATTGAAAATTTTGGCTAATCAAAATTTGGATTTTGGCCTAGGACCCAAACAAGCCGCCATCACCAAGTTTTCTTCAGGATTTGCTTGACATGACCGCATATATGCTTTATGCTTAAACGGGATTAACTATCACTAATAAAATGTACACTTCTTGCGGCAAAAATCAAAAGCTAACTTCATTCAACAATTATTTTAGATTATTGTAACTCCAATACTCTAAAAACGTTTTGAAATATAAAATTTGATAAATGAAATTAGACATGACGACTTCACTTAAAATAATATATGAATCATTAAAAACAAAATAACTAATAGTTTTTATCTTATAAATTCATAATTTGATTTTTTTTCATATATGGAGAGGTTAAATATTTATAAATATAAATTTTTATCCTAATATTTCATCGTCTAATTTCTCTCGTAGTTCTAGAAACTCGACCCTAATGCACATAGGGATTCGTGTGATATATCAAAGTTTTCTACTATTATTTATTGTAATAAACGTTTTTGCAAAAGAAATCTACTAGAGTTAATAATTTCGGGTCTCAAGGACTAAAGTCAAGAAAATCAAGCAGCAAAATTCAACAATGCTTCCATGCAAATGTCGTATGAAGGGAAAAGAGGCAGAATCTTAACAAAAAAGAATGTCATGGCCTCATCATCTGTCTATTGATGCATCAAATCTCCATCAATTTGACCAAGATTATCTAATCTAATATTTTATGATTTCTACTTAATGATTAGAGAATCCCTAATCATTAAATTCCATCATCACAAAACTATGGGCCAAATTGGGTTTGAGTCTGACTCCATTTTCAAACCTGGGCTTCTAACCTTATATTTTATCACGAACGACAATTTCTTGTTATCTGCTGAATTCATGGCAGATGGGACACGTAGAGCTGATACCACCTATAATGTAGACACGTACCATACATTTGGCAAAGCCACAGGAAGTGAGGAAACGCCATATAAGGGGTGTTGGATGCCATGCATGAGGCAAGAAACATTCAACGTGTAGAGATCGATCAGAGGAAAGAAAATGGAAAAGAAGCAAGAGGGAAACCAGCAGCAGCAGATGGAGAAAAGGGCAGAGAGTGGTCATGAGGACAAGAAGGTAAGCTTAGAGGGTCTCCCAGTTGAGGACAGTCCTTATGTGAATTACGGGGACTTGGAGGATTACAAGCGGAAAGCGTATGGAACTGAAGGCCATCTTGAGCCGAAGACAGGCCGCGGTGCTGGTGCCACTGATGCACCCACTATTTCTGGTGGAGCTGCCTCCTCTGAGGCTTCTGCTAAAGTAACTGATACAATTAATCGTCTAGGAGTCCCTTAAATACTTAATCTAATGTATTTCTTTTTATAAAGAATTATGAGTTTGTTAATTTCCTTTAATTTTCATAATCTAATGTATTTCTTTTTATAAAGAATTATGAGTTTGTTAATTTCCTTTAATTTTCCTTCCATTATAAGCTAATCTATTTCTTTTTATAGCTCTCTCTTCTTGTGCTACACATGATTGCTTCATAATGCATAACTAAAAAACGAAGAAGAAGAAGAAGAAGACGACATGAAATTTGGCATTTGGGATTGTAAAATAAGGTTTGTTTCATACTGTCAACTTTGTAGCTATCAAGGAAGGGATAGTTAATGAGAGGTTATCCCTCCGGTAATATAGAGAGAGAGAAAATCGGCAATCTGAATCGTATAGGTGACTGAAAATTTTGGGAAAATCCAACTTGAAGATCCTATGTTTGCGTCAGATTGGTAAATTGAAACTCATGTACATTTACTAATTTTATGAATTCCATTTTATAATTGCTATATTTAGAAAATCTTTCATTGTTAACATAAATTCATTTATTATATTAAGGTATTAACTTCGAAAATATCACTCATGTGCAATATAATTTTGACAAAGATGTTTAGCTTTAATTTTTAAAAAAAATTAAAATAAATCAAAAGTTTTACTAATTTTTTTTTTTCAAATATGTTATTTTGAGATTTTGATGAGAGATTTACATGATTAATTAAGTGGAGTATTTTATACTATATGTTGCATAGATTTTTGTTAACAATTACAGTGAATTGCTTATATATGATTAAATTTGCAAAATTATTAACATATGTATGGTATTATGGCATTTTTTACTTTTAAAGTATTGCATTTTAGCAATCGCGTAATTTGAACTTCAAAATATTAAAATAAATTTGATTCAAATTATCCGATTTTTGTTATTTTTAACGATCAATTGTCAGCATTACTTAATTTTTTTTTAACTGAAGTTTAAATTTTTGGGTTTGTCGATGAATTTCTGAATTTTAAAACCTTGAAACCTAGATATTTATCTCCAAACCCAAAAATTTATCCTCAAATTCAGAAATTCAAAAATAAAACTCAGAACTTCAATATTATTGGATTTGGGCGTAGACAAGGCACCATCACCCAGCTTTTAGAATTAGTTGACATGACCGAAGTTTTTTGTAGACTTCTTAATTAGGAACAGGTTTTTTCTGTTTCTTTAATTTTTATTCAAATTTTACGATCAGAAAAGTTATTGAATTTTTTTATACATCACGAAACCTTACAAAATATATTTTAACATCGCATAAAATAAATAAGCTTTTACCATTTTTTCTTTTCCAGAACACTCGTGAAAAAAAAAAAAAAAAAAGTCTATACTCCATGTCCAAAGTTGAAATATAAAAATTATGTAGCAAATTCAACAGTAATTTCATGGAAATTATGTCCCATAAAGAGGAACGGCCGCAAACAATGTATTCAAAGTCTTCTCCATTAAAGAATATCATGATTACAAGCATTGTATTCCTTAATAAGAGTCGTAAATTACAATATCTCTCCATTAAACAAATTTTAGTGGACACCATCATATGTATATTGATGTATCAAGTTCCCAAAATTATCTTTTACTGATATTTTCTGATTTCTAATCATGAGTAGGGAATTCCTAATCATAGAATCTATAAGGAAAACATCATTAGAAGATTACAATATAGCATGAGCTAATGAAGCAGTCCGTCAGTACGTGTTTTGATGTTCAATTAGTACTAAAAAAATAATAAATTTAATTTTTATTAATAAAAATTTTGAATTGAAAATACCTTACAATTTATAAATATAAAAATAACAAAGCAGGCAGCCTCCAACCATGAACTGAACATCAGTCAGACTAATAATTAAATGTGGAAAAACGACCTCCGATCTCAGTGGCTCTATTCTGGACAAAATTTTATTATCTATATAAGCTTTGACCCAAACCTGATTCATCATGAAAACTAATTTTTCAACAGTAATTGGAAAAAATAAATAGAAAAAATACATGGTATTTTTGTTTTGTTTTTTTATGACCTACACTAAATTCTTAAATCTATGTTAACAATTATGCATATTTCTTTTATTTTAACTAGTGGTTTGAAAATTATCAATAACAAAATATTAATTCTGCTATAATATTTATATTGAAGCTGATTCTGGAGCTCTTCTAAAATAATAATGCAGAAAATTCTTCGAGCTCTTCACACCATTGTTAATATATATATGATGTATCAAGGTTTTTTTACAATAAAAAAAATACACACTAAATATTAGATAAACAAGAAAACTATATAATATATATTTCTTGTTGTTTTTTTTTTTTTTTTTTTTTTGCTCTTTTTTTCCATGTTCTTCAACTTTAATCAAGTATACAATGCACAGGTTGTAAAAAATAGCAAACATGAAAATTAATTAAATTTTGAAATTAATTATACAATTTTATATTTAATTTTCATAAATTTATGTTTAACATTTATGGAGTATATCTTCCAAACCAATTGTGAAAATTTATAATGAGCTGGTTTTGAGCGAAATTAATTTCCTTTCCAACACCAAACATTAAAAGAAAAAAATGTATAATAATTAATCATATACTGAAATTATTTTCCCAGTTACATTGTTGTAATTTTTTTTCTTTTTTTGCGAACATGAAATGCAGCCCCACGGTTAAGATTTTGATTTTTTCACTCACAGGTTTCAAAATTAGATTTGCAATAGCCCTACAAGCTCGAAATGCAGAGTGCACATAACCCTAATGCTTTCTCAGCTGTTAAATGAGAATCAAAGACTCCAAAACAACAGCTAGCCTGGATTTTTCAATCAGAAAAGGTTGTGTATAGGTGCAAAAACTGAATTCCAATACAAGACGGTAGCTAGAAAGTTCGCAGGAATTTTCATAAAGTTGAGTTTCGTATAAAGTTTACAAACTTCAAGTTTCAGAATATTGTCGAATACTGTAATTTTAAGTTCTGTGTCAGATTTGAGCAATTTACCACCAATCAGTTGCGTTTAATCCAGGTTGAACAACTCTCCGGACGCCAACGTCACACAAGTTCATAAAAAATAATCAACTTAGAATCTGATACGTGAAGGAGAAATTATTGAATTATCTCATATCGGTTGAGAAAGAAGTTACATGTTTGATTATAAATGTTAATAAAAACTCATTTTTTGAGTTGATTTTTAGAATTCTAATAGCATCCAATCCTAGCGATGGAGCTCGAGCTCAAGCTAAACAATATTTTGTGGGCCGACAAAGGGAGATGCTTAGTTATAAGTACGGAAGAAATACTCATTCTTTAAACTAGTTTTTAGAGTTGAGAAACCCATTATCACTCACCGTAGATGAAGTTTAAATCCCATTGGGCCATCGGTATTCGAGCTCAAAGTGGTCATAGACACCAAGTTTGGGCCTAGGTACTCTTTAGGGCTGCCTCTTGCAGGGGGCTCCAGCCCTGTAGAGGACTAGGGTTTCTGCCTGGTTTCCTAACATGCAGACTGCATTCTTGTCTTTACAATTGTAATAGAAGAAACAAAGGTTAGAAATTCGAGGCTATAGTACCCAACAAACACTTGTAATATCTTATGTTGCAGCTGTACTAAAGCAGATACAAGAAGAAAACACCTTAGTCTGCTACTTTATGACAAAGTTCGCAGCCTGATATTGCTGCTGCTGCTTTTGTATATTGTCCAGCTGCCTAACTAGTTGGTGTTGTAAATTTAATAAGGATCGCATAGGCATGGATTAATCTGATATGGATTTATATAAGTTAAGCACGACAGGAACTTCTGTGCTACATATGATTACTTAATCCATAATTACATGAAAAAGAAGATGAAGTTTTGGCATTATTAGGCAAGTTTCTGTCATCCTATTAACTCTGTAGCTATCAATGGAAGAGGCAGAAAATGACAGGGCATCTCACTCTGGTAATAGAGAGGAAAAGCGAAGAAAAAAGCAAATCTCAATCATTTAGGTGATAGAAAATTTTGGCTAATCAAGATTGGATTTGGGCCTAGAACCAAAGCAAGCCACCATCGCTGAACTTTCTTTAGTATTTGTTTGACATGACCGCATGTGGTTTTTTCTAAATCAAGATTGCTTAAACTGGATTAACTAACACTAAAATGTAATCTGCAAACATCTTGCGGCAAAAATCAAAAGCCAGCTTCATTCAACAAACTGCACTTTCCTTTAATTACTTATGTATATTTAGATTATTGACTGTCTAATGCTCAAAAAAACGTTTTGAGATAGCATTTAGTAAATTAAATCAAACATGACAACTTCACTTAAAATAATATATGAAACATTATAGACAAGATAGATGATAGTTTTTGTCCTTACATCTCGAGAGGTTTAATATTCATAAATATGAATTTTTGTTCTATTTCATAATCTAATTTCTCTCGTAACTCTAAAAGCTCAACCCTCGTGCACATAATTGATATGGCATATCAAGTTTTTTATTATTATTATTTATTGTAATATACTTTTTTGCAAAGGAAATCTACTAGAGTTGACAATTTCCTGTCTCCACCAATGCCATAGGAATTCATGAAAACATTTTCCCACATGTCTAAGAACTAAAGTCAAGAAAATTAAGTAGTAAAATTCAACAATACTTTCATGCAAAGGCTGGAAACATTGTATTCAAACTCTTCAATCAAAAAGGAATATCATGGCCTCCCATTATTAACAAGAGTCGTAAACCACAATATTTCTACTAAACAAATGTCAGTGGGCAACATCACATGTATATTGATGCATCAAGTCTCCATCAATTTGACCAAGATTGTGATCTAATGCTGATATTTTATGATTTCTTGTCAATGATTAGAGAACCCTAATCGTAAAATTTCATCATCACAAAACCAAGGAAATGCTAATGGAGCATCAAAACGAGCTGGGTTTTGACCCGTTTTATTATGGGCCAAAAATTATCCAAGCTTGGGTTTGAGTCAAACTCCATTTTCAAACCTAGCTAGGTTTCCAAGATGCACAGCAAATTCTTTTTATTATACTACACAACTATTCTGGAAATACTACAACACCTCGCAGTAAACCTGACAGGAATTTGGATCTGTCGGATTACACGATCCCTAGTCAGAAACCGACCATATACAAAATAACTAAGGGACAAAGAATAAAATTAAAAATAGTCTTTAGGTTCATTGCATTGGCTTTCTGAATCTATGATATTTAGCCAGGTTATTATTAAAAAATAATATAAATCATATTTTACAGCCTTACATAATAATTTAAATTTTTGAATGAGATAATTTTTTATTATGATATCAGAACCTTAATTACCAAATGATCATTGATTCGAATCTCACCGTCTCAATTTTTTTTATTAATCGAGCATAAAGTAGCGTGGTTATATACAAATTTTAAGCTTGAAAGACTTTTATTTAAAAAAATATATTAAAAAATAATATAAATTATATTTTAAAACTTCACTTGATTAGGATGGTCCTTTAAGAGTTATGAATTCAATTCTTAACGAACTTTAGAGATTGAATTTGTTTAAATTATATGCAAAAGATAACTGAAATTAACTCATTATTTTTGTTTTGGTGTTCGACTTTTCCTTCTTCTAATACAAATATCTAATCGATAATGCATATAAAATTCTCAAAAAAAAAAAAAAAACAGAAGAACATTACCGGATCTGTTCGATTCCTAAAACCAAACCATTACCTAATGGGCAAGCGGGAATCAGATCCCTGTCATGGCTAACAACAACAATACTTCTTCGATAAAAAAAAAAAAAAAAAAAAAAAGGAACACTTGTGGTTTTTATCCATAAAGCCTGCTTCCCTTAATCCCACTTTCTCCACTTGCTACAAAATCAAACCCAGATACCCTAGTTAAAAAATACGAACACACATGCAGAAAGAGCAAAAGAAACTGTAAAAAAAAAACAAATATTACAATATCACCAGCAACCAAACATGACACACTCACAAGTGAACACAAACTCCAAAAGATTCCTGCAAAGAAGCAGTACACTTTTGTCATACGTGTGGCTATTATGTCACATCTGCTTTACTTTTATTATATCTATGTCAGTTTTCTGTGAATGTGTCCTTTCCTGTCAACAAGAAGGCCCAATCAGTAATAAGAGAAAGGAAGGAAGCATAAGTTTAACTGGAAAGGTATTTTCCAACCAGTTTTTTAAACATCACCACAAAATTTTTATTACATTAAGTTTGTTTAATAGGTTAGGATATCCCGCATCTAAACTTATGCATTTACGTGATATTAGGTTTGTTTATTTTATTAAATGAGAAATCTTTACTGAACTTAGTCTGTTTAAAAACCAATCATAAATGTTTTAGTTTTGAATTGACATTTCATAAATTTTATTTTTTAAATTTTAGTTTATTCTTTAGTATTCTGAAGAAAAAAAAACGATCACATAAATTAATATTCATACGATGGAAATTATTCTGTAAATTTTATTTAAGACTTCATAAAAAGAAATTAAAATCATTTGGAATTAGTTTCTATTTTTTTTATTTTCTAAATTCTTAATGTTTAGAAAAGAAACAAATATACTTCTTGATTTAAAAAAATTCTGAGATTTTTTCAAAAAATAAATTAAAATTTTCCCATCATGTGTGTAAAAATTCAGCTTAAAAATATCAAGAATTGATTTTTTAGAGGGATGGATGAATTCTGAAAATCATAAAATAAACTAAATTTTAAAAGAATAAAATTCAAAGAAAATCATATCTTAAATTAGAAGTTTAGAAATTAATTTTTAAATAAAAAAATCAAGAAAGATTTAGCTAATTTAGCCTCTCTCTCTTTTTCATATCATATTTTGGTAGCTCACGACGTTAAAAGAATAAAAAGCTTAAAAACAATAAACCAAAGGTTTATTAATGAGATTATTTTCTTGTTAATTATTAACCATAGTATAATATCTACATTCAAACCTATATTATAACATGGTGAACATAACTATTACAATTTATTAGTTTTACGATCGTGAATGTTTTTATATTAGTTTTGGAACATAAAAAATCATGTATATCTCTCTACTTCAATAGTAGATTGAGAATAAATTTCATAAAAATCTATTCAAAATAGTTGGTTTGAGTAGAATGAGCTTTAATTATTTAAAAAAATAATTTTAAATTTAAATTTTTATATACATAAAAAACTCTTAGTATAGATGTACCTGCTTTATATGTCCGATCAAACTTTTAAATTTAAAATACTCTAAGGTTTCAAAAAAAAAGTAATCATAAAATCTCATTTCTCACAATTCAATCAAGGATTTAAAACTTATGATTAAAAAAATATATGTATATATATATATATATACTCTTAATCCATCAAACCAGCTTGTATCGGAGGGAAGGGAAAGAGAGTAGCATCACATGGCGTGAGGGTGGTGGTGATGGTGGTGGTTAGGACCCACAGACAACCTGGCACAATTAGATACAAATTAAAAGAAGAAGAGCACCCACATGCATCGTCATCATCCCATGTGATGTTATCCCTTCTGGCCCCTTTATCTCTCCCTTCTTTCCCCTACATGAATGGCAAAAATTAAAGCCAGACCCCACCTAGATATAGTACAATAGAAAACGGCAGTATTAATTAGTAGTATCGAAGTGACAAATAATAATTCTTCTAACAATAAGGCAGAAAGACAATAGACAGATATATATAAGAGAGAGTCCCGTTTTTTTCCCTTGTTTTCTCCTTATGATCACTATGTTTTTTGGGTTTTGCTAAATTCTTATCTTTGTGTCTTATAATTTAATGGTTTGACACTGAAATATAAATTACAGTAACAAACAATACCTAACTGGTTGAAAATACTGTGAGGGTTCTTGAATGCGTGATACAGTAAACTTGCCAAACCCTAATTCACCCTCACCTCTCTTGGCTTCAATATGGATAATCAGCTGGTCATTGCAGTTGCACTTGTTTTTTACCAGCTGAATCTCTGATTTAGTGGCAGTTTTTTTAAAAAATAATTAAGTATATTTTATGTTAATTTTTCATGCGTAAAAATTATGATTTGAGTATATATATATATATATATGTGTGCGCGCACGTGTCTTTTTAGATTATAAATTCAAGCTAATAATCCGTTGTTTAATTGAGTTTTTTTTTTTTTTTTCTCATGCAAATAATGAGAAGTAGCAGAGGGTTATATCAAACTCCATTTATGAAATATAATCTCATTTTCCACAATTATATCGAAACTCTGGTTTAAGTCACTGTACGAATTAGACTAATCATAGGTAGATATCCTTGAACAACTCTTTTGTCATCCTTTCATGATTTTCATAGTCCATCTTCCATAAATATGTAAAGAAATAGCAAATCCAATAAGCTCCTCAAGACCCGTCTAAAACTATGTATGGTCTCTTCCCTCTTAAACTTTCCTTTTCTTTTTGTTATATGATGAAATGGTATTTTTTTGATCAATTTCGTGCACGGATTAAATCCTTTTTTTTTTCAATTCAATTGAAAATAGTCTAATTGAAGCACCAAATGGTGGGCATTATAATGCAAGCAACGTAATAATTTTTTGGTCATTTCCTTATGGTTGCATGCCAGAAAATGAAAAAGCAACGTAGGATTTGTTTGCACCTTACAGCTTGTAAATACAAAATAAGGTAACTTCTTTGGAAGGATAGTGTCATTCACGTTTCTTGAATGCTAGTCTATTTTCCATGGTTAAGATTATTTTCTTGAACGTCAATCTATCTCCCATGGTAAAGATTATCTTCAGACCAAGTGTTAATCGAGATTAAATCATTTTCACAACCATATTATAGAACATTCAACCTAGCTCACATCCTTGACCACCCAACCTTCTTTTAGATTAATTTTTTGAACGTTACCGGCATTCAACATTTACTCCAAAATGTTACGTCCATTTCGTATCATATAAATTGTTTCTGTTATTTCAATTTTAATACAAGTCTAAATGTTCTAAGCGGAGGTAACAGTGACAGAAATTAAAAAAAAAGGCAAGAATTAACTGTTTAAATTCAAGAGAACGACAGTTCGAGAAAGTTGACTAGTAGACTAGTTACATCTTATTGGTGATGGAAATTGTAGAACTGTCGTTCAAGGAGGAGAACAGTGTCAGTCCCTATTTTCATCCACATAGATAGATATAGATAAGTAGTATGTAGATTCTCTGATCTTCTGGGGTTCAGCATCTGCTGTACAAAGATTTTGATTATACCCTAAAAACAACACAAGCTAACAACAAACTAACACTAAATATGGCCTTTCTTTGTTTCTTCTAGGGAAGACAGGAGTGGTGAAAAAAAAAAAGGGGAAAGGGAAAGAAATTACAGTTCCATAAAGTTACAACTTACAACTACACATTGTTTCTTCTTTTTTAGCTTTGCTTTCTTTACCTGTGGTCCAACTTACTTCAACTACTGAAATGAGTGATGAAAATAGTACAACAAAGAAAGGAATGGCTGACCCACTTCCTTTACTCCCTTTCACGTATGCAATTTGTATGGTAGTAAGTAGTATAGTATTGATGGTGGTGGTGGTGATGATGATCATGATGAAGATGATGATGGTAGCAAGATGTGGTAAAGGTAGTAGTACTACAAGTGGTGGTGATGTTTCGATCTCTACATGATCTTTGATGTGAGTTTTTGTTTGGTTACACTTCTCAATCTTCCTGTAAATTTAGAACAAGAAAAGCCAAAGCAAAACCAACCAAACCCCATTAAAAATACAAAATCATAATTTGTATGCATATGAAGCAAGCAAAAAAAAAAAAAAAAAAAAAAAGATGTAAAGGAATCCAAAGTTGCAATAATTTACCCATAAGCACAGCAAAGCTAAATTCCAACAGGGCAGGTAGGTCCATCTGTGCTGGCATACATCCCAATTGCTCCATGCCCAGATGAAAACCTAAAAATAAGATGCAAATCAGGTCAAAAGGCTTGTCACATTGTCTTTAAAATTTTTAAAAGTCATAAAGTAGTAGGTATTTTTATGGTTACCTAGGCATTTGGCAATTGAAGGACTTGAAGGATGCCATTTCTAGTGAAGAATTAGGAGAGATTAGACTTGAAGTGACCAAATTATTGTTAGCAGAAGATGAAGTTGGAATGTTAGCATCCTTTTCATGAGCCTGATCAGTAACTCCATGGATGAAGGCGGAGTAGTAGTCCCCAGAGCCTTTGGTAGGAGATGCAAAGGGACTATCAGGGAGGTTGTGCTCCAAACTGTATCAATCAATGATTTCGTAAATACAAACTCTACTTAAATTGGAATGTTTCCAAAAATTAAACCCATAAACCGAAACAGAAAATAGATGCAAATCTTGTGCAAAAACATGGTGGTTACTATTCTAGGTCACCTAACTGTTTATAGCTACATGCAAAGAGGTTGGTTTATTACCCTTCTTGTAAATCAATGTCTTCACCCTGAGAGCTATCTTTTCCACTGCCATTCTCTTCACTGCCAGTATATTCTTTACCAGAAGTAGCATTTGGTACCTGTTTTTCAGGTGGGGCAGTCACTGAGATGGCTGGCATTGGGCTGGAACAATTCTCTGCCAAAAAACAATCCAACGTGAGGTTGGAAAGCTCAATTTTTTAATTGTATAGAGTGGACTAATGAAGAGAGAGATATACCTTGTGGAACTTCTGTGTTACCGTGGAGTGGAGGAAAGGCCAGAGATTGATTGAAAATATTGGGAGATTGAGTTGGAGAGGGGACAGGGCTGCCAGTGGAAAGAGCCCTATTATGATGTTTCTTGACATCAAGAAGCTGCAAACTCATCAATCTTCTACCTTGAAGTTCAAGGGCTTGCTGCAAATCAGCTTGCTCCTCTAGCTTCCTCCTCCACAACATGTCTTGAGTATTGTAAAACATTCTTGCTCCTAAATTTAAAGAAACATAACATGCTTAAGTAACAATGTCTCAAAAGCAAAATAGATTTGGTTGTTGACTTGTTTGCATTGCTTACCGAGTTGGAGATCAAAGGGATCTCTTGAATCAAGACCAGTAGGAGTACCACATGGTGAGAACTCGCCCCTCTCAACCTGTTGCTGCTGCTGCTTCCTGCAAGCAATAGACTTGCATAAGTAAAAGGTAGAACTTCAAAGCATATCTTACAGCTTACAGAAACTTGAAGTTAAGTAGATAGTGAGAGAGAATGCCTGTACTTGTCTGGGACTTTGCCTTTCTCTTTGTAAGGCTTAACAAGCACCCTTGCATCACAAACAAAATGAGGATTCCCTTTGGCCAAGATTATCTTCACTGTCTCTGGATAAAGAAAAGTAACAAATCCAAACATCCTCTTCTGCTGATAAGGAATCCTCACGTCTTGCACTGGTCCGTAGATGCTTCAAACAATAAAACCAAAATAGTTAAGCGACAATTTTTTCAGATTTCACCAAGAAAGTTCAGCTTGCAGAAGAACAGAAGGCAAAATGAACCTGAAATAATTTGACACATCTTCCTCTCTGAAAGTGCTATCAGCTGGGAAAGTCAAATAGATCTGCCTTGAAGCAGGATTAACCGAATCATTCCTATCAAGCCTGGATCTTCCAAATTTGTGCATGTCCTCCCCCATCATCAAAGCAGCGGCGGCGGCGGCCCTGCAAAACAAAACAAAGAAAGAAAAAGAGTTCACTAATCAATTAACACAAAATGAAAAAAAAAGGTAAGAAAAATATTATTTTTAAAGAAAATACTCAATTACCTCTGACTATCATTTTGTTGCTGTTGAAGAAGAAAGTTCATGTTTTTAGGAGAGTAAGGAAAAGAAGCAGCAGAGCCACCCATGAGCTGAGAAGCAGCAGCTAACCTTTGCTGTTGGGCAGACTTAGATCTAAGCAACTCATGGCACTGGTCCATCATATCAATCTTGTTGTTACTATTTGGGGAACCCACAGCAACACCTACACCATCTGATTCTCCAAGCCCACCATGAACAAACCTACAGTTACTTCCATTCTTACAGTACCCTCTAGCAAAGTAAAGACAAGGTCTCCATCCAAACCCTGAATTTGGATCCTCAGACCCCAAAACATCACTTACAGAACAGCTCCTTCTGTGTACAGACCCACCCCAGTAAGAAGGAAACATCATAGAATCACTAGCACCATTTGGGCTTGATAAAGCATCAAGTTGAGGGTAAAAAAGATCTGAACTTTTAGGACCAAGATTTGGCGAATTATCGTTTAAAAAAGAAAGCTGGTCTTGGAGCTGAAACTCATCCATCAAATCAGACTCTCCTCCACCTCTTACTCCATTAGCATAGAAAGGCACTGAAGCAGGATTGAGTGAGCTACCATTAGGACTAATCAAGTCATCAGGGTTTGGAAGGTCACTCCAAGAAGAAGAATTATTTGATGAAGGGTTTGGTATAGTAAGTGAAGGTGGGATATTGAACCCGAGTCTTGAAGTTGTAGATGACGAATTTTGTCTAGAGATGGGTATTGGGTTGCTTGAGTAAAGAGGAGAAGGAGAGGAAGGACTTGTAGAAGGGTTTGATGGAGAGCTAAGTCCTAGTTCTTTCCTGGCTTTAAGGATCACTGAGTGAACAAGTGCTTCTGGTCCAAAAGCCAACCTAATCATTTCCTTTTCGCCATGGTCTTGAATCAAAAGAAGACCCATGATTTTTGAAGCATTCTCTGGGTCTAGGTTTTGGATTCTTGAGAAGACTATTCTTGTTGCTTCATAACCATCCATGGTAGAAGTCGTAGTAGTAGTAGCAGTGAACAGAGAGTTTGGTACTATGTTTCACACCAAACTCCACCTCTCTTACAAAACCTTGTTGTTGGAGCAGTTGTTGTTTTGTCTATGCCAATAGAGACTTGTTCTCTTTCTTTTTTCTCTTGATTTGTGAGAGAGTAAGTCTTGTGTGCTCTGTTTTACAAGTAAAACTTCTTTCTCAACCACAAACCCTGCCTACCAACTTGAGAGAAATAGTATTAGTAGTAGCTAGAACTAGCAGTAGCAGTAGTAAAGCAGTTTTCTTTCTCCTATTCCTGCAAAACCCAAGAAAAGAAAGGTAAAGAGAAAGAAGAAAAGAAAGCTTTCAAAAGGAGAGTATTCTCGTGTGGTTGATTAAAAGGAAGCCAAAGAAATCTACACAGGAGGAGAAAGAAACTAAATACTACCACTAATAGTTGCCTTTGTTAAAAGCAAAACAAAGAAATAAAAAAGAAAAAAATTGGTAGTTGAATTTCTCTATAAAGCAAACCAAGAATGCCAAAGATACAGTAAAAAAAGAAGAAGTGAGTAGTAGCTAAGCATCTATTATCACAAAAAGATGTCACTCTTATTCTTCCTTTTCCAAATTAATATTGCAAAACTCAGCCCTAGTCAATACAGGACAGCTTACCCATGAAAGAAAAGAAGGGTCTATATCTCTATTTCTATTTGTTTTTTCTCGTCCTTTTTCTCTCTCTCGAACTTACTACAAAAGCCAAACCACCGCCATCTCACGAAGCCAGGTTGGCAGGAGCTAGTCGTAGCGGCAGCAGCAGAAAAACCATCAATTGCTTCAGTATGGAGGCAGCTGCTGCTGGTGTTTTGGGTTCTGGGCTAATAGTTGACAGTCAAAGCTCTCTTTATCTATCTACACACTATCTTATAATAATCTCTCTAACTCTCTAAAAACTTACTTTCTCTATCTAGATACTGTCTCTATGTCTCTTTCTTTCTCACTCTTCCCTCTCTCTCCTTTGAAGTTTATAGAAACAAGGACCGGTGAGAGTGGCAGAGAGTGAGAGGCAGAGTGTGGGAAGTTGGGTCTTTTGGGTGTTTTTGAGTGGATCCAGATCTGTGCTTCAAATAATGCACGTTCTTGCTCTAAACCCCTGACACACCATAAAACTCTTTTCTTTTTCAAGAAAATTTTTTTAGGGTTTTCTCCATTTCTTGATTGCTCACTTGATGATGATAGATTGTGTATCATACGCGCTGATGATAGGCATCTTGTTCGTCTTGTGGGACCCTTTTTGAGATGATCCCCATGTGTGGTGATCGGAGTGTGACCACATTTCTTTTGCCTTTACTGTCTTCTTGATTGATTCATAACATGTTTTTATGTTGTTTGTGTTTGTGTTTGTGTTTTTGGAGAGTTCGATGAATCTCCAAAATCAATTTGTAATCTGAAGGAATTGACACAGCGATGAAGTACCCTATATATATATATATATATATATATTGTGGAATATTTGATAGTTTTTTTTTAAGTAAAAAACGTTTGAATTCTAATTTATTTCATTATTATATAATAAAAAATAGATAATTTTATTTTGTAATTTAAAGTCCACCAACCATTTGATGAATAAGGAAAAAAAATAGTGATCAAACGGCATGATTCCGATCGACTGAATAAATTTTTTTAATATTACTTGAAATAATGATTGAATTTGGATTGACATATAAACTAGTTAGATAATATCTTTTACCATTGTTATTAAATTAAAAAATAATACTAATCAACAAGCTATTGACCTAATAATAAGTAAATTGGTTTCTTCATAAATTTTCTGTTAATTCATAGAGTTTAAATTTTAAAATTATATTTATTAAAAGAGATTAAATTTTATTGTTTTTTTTCGAACATTGTTATTCTTATTTTTTACATAAGATGAAAATACTTGAATAAAAACTAAGAAAAAAATGATGCTATTTGTGAAGACATGTATGTTGCTTGCTTTTTTTTTTTTTTCCTCCCAAAATTTTCATTTATTTTTCTTCTTTAAAAATTTGTTTTGCTTCATTCTCTAAACATATCATTTGAGGGGTGCATTTGGTCACTCATGCCCCACCAGCAAATGCTCTCTCCTCTTTCTATTTTCCATGAGTGAGGCACCTTCTTGGTTCACTTAAATTATTGATATCAAGGTGATTGTGACTGTCTAATAATAGAAGAGAGGGGAGACAAAGGCAGAGTGGTTCTTTTCATCCAACTTAGGAGCTTCATAAGTGGAAAGATTATCTCAGTAGTTGAATTTCTTTGAAGTTATTCATTCAACTGTTTAATATTCACAGAGAATATAATCAAAAGTTAATGATCAAAACATTACAATAAGATTAACAATTGATTCGCACTAAATCTTAGCATACATAAATTATGTCGATGATGATGGAGGAGATGATGATAATCGGGAAGTTTGATTCTCTTTTAACACCACTAGCTAATCGGAGCTCTTATTTCATTGGGCTTTTAACGCATCAAGAATCCTTGCATTGCAAAAATGGGATATCAATTGTCACTTATTCTTCTTGCTAAAAGCTTGAGTGCAATCATTAGATCATGCCAAAATTACTTAGAATATGATCAATGTCATATTCAAGCTATAGAACTTGAGAACCATTCCTAGGAAGACATTTTCAACCATCGAATACAAGTCTCTGACGCAAAAAATAATTCTTTTATAAACTTTCTTGTTTTTACGTAGATAATTTGTGTTTGATCAGTATAATTATATTACACAAAAGTTGTCTGAAAAATACCAAATTTCAAAAAAAAAAAAATCATTATTTGCAAGTTCAATTAATACCTTTTGATTAAGAAGAAAAGAAAAAAATTTGCGTTCAAATCATCTTGCTTAGTAATGTGAGCAAACTAATCAAGGATGAGATTATACTATTGTGTCCGGTTCGCAAGTGAAAATATTGAGAGACAATATTTCAAGTTAATGGCTCAATATATTATTATATATAATAGAAAAAAATTCAATATGTCTTTATGTTATTAGTTGAACAAATTTTATATTTGAATGTATATTAAATATCTAATATATCATTCTGATAAAATTTTCAAAAATTGTCGAAATTAGTCACATGATTTGCATATGAAAAACTACTATTTAATTGGTTTGTAAAGAGATATTAAAAATAAAAAATAATCATATATAAATTACGTGAATAATTTTGATGATTTAATCTAAAAATCTTAACAAAAGAATAGATTAAAAACGTCATGTTTATTTAGAATAAAACAGACCTAATTGAAGGTGTAAAGATTAATCGAAGAATTATTAAAGGTTGATGAGACATTAATCTCAATATTTAAGCTTTGAGTTAATAGAAACTTAATACATGTTCACTAAAATTCTTCAAAATTCTTAAAAAACATTACAAATAATAATAACGTAGACATTGACATATGCATCAATCCTTTTATATATATATACATGATTGCATGTTTTAAATGATAAAAAAACACTGCTATGAAAATATAAAATTAAACTACTATTTAATTGGTTTGTAAAGAGATATTAAAAATTAAAAATAATCATATATAAATTACGTGAATAATTTTGATGATTTAATCTGAAAATCTTAACAAAATAATAGATTAAAAACGTCATGTTTATTTAGAATAAAACAGACCTAATTGAAGGTGTAAAGATTAATCGAAGAATTATTAAAGGTTGATGAGACATTAATCTCAATATTTAAGCTTTGAGTTAATAGAAACTTAATACATGTTCACTAAAATTCTTCAAAATTCTTAAAAAACATTACAAATAATAATAACGTAGACATTGACATATGCATCAATCCTTTTATATATATACATGATTGCATGTTTTAAATGATAAAAAAACACTGCTATGAAAATACAAAAATAAAGGATTCTTTTGATGGCATAGAACAGGAAAAGGCAGTGTTGGAATTTGTATGGGGGGCAGAGGCTCTTGCACACCCCATTACCTCCTACATCAGTTGTCGTTTTTAATATGTCCCCACAAAATAATGCTACTGAATCTCTCAACCTTTCCTTCTGATCATCTCTTTTTCTCTTTCCAAAAAAATCAATATTTCAGCAAACAACAGCTCGTGACCCGCCCTTGTCATCATTCACACAGCGCATCCCTTGCTCGCTTTTATCACACCTTTTTTCAAATTTTACTTACCCTAATGATGTGTAAATAAAGAGGGGGAGAAAAAGGGGTACGAGCATTGAGAAGTTTTAGAAACCCCAAGAAACGTGGTCAAACAGTCTACCAGTAAGAAAAGGTTATTTTGATCAAGATTCAATTTAGTCATAATTATTATTTTTTTATTCCTACGGCATCTCAGACCAAAGTTCCAGAGTAATCCATTATTGTACGATCGAACACAAAAAAAATAGAAACAAATAGACAATGAGTTTTCTGTATATATAAAGATTCGATAAGATTACTTGTTTAAGTTATTAGAGCTCCTTCAATTCAAATTAATCCTTTTGAGAAGTCATAATTATCTAAATTAATTTCTCGTTGTTCGATCGGATATACAAGACAAACACAACTATTTAACGAGTTTTCTGCATATACAAATATTCGAACTCGATATCACTTACTTAAGCGACTAGAACTCCTTTCACTCAAACCAATCATATTAGGTAATTATAATTATTTTTTAATAAAATCACTTTTAAGCTGAATTGGCATAACATATAGTCTAATAATTGATTAAAAAACTAAACGAATTAGAGTTTTTGTGTAGGTAAAAATTTATTGGATAAATATGTTTGTTTTACACATTTGACAAAATAGTGAGAGATTAGTTTGAGTAGTTTGAATTCTTAATATTAATTAATCATTTACTTAAGCGACTAGAGCTTATTTCACTCAAACTAATCATATTAGTTAATCACAATTATTTTTTAATAGTATCACTTTTAAGCTGAATTGGCATAACAGTATAGTCTAATAATCGATTAAAAAACTAAGCGAATTAGA